ATTTAAAAATAATATGTGGATTTTCAACTGCAATTATTGTTTCAAACGATGTTTATCGGCCATCCCGTGTTCCAAATGTTCACAGGTAAATCGATTTTTAATACATWTTAAATTATACGCGTTTTTAATGCCTGCCAAAATAAAATGTTACTGGTAATATAGGTTGTCTATTGTGATGAGACGTGTCTACAAAAAGCCCACACCAGTTACCACGGTATAGAATGTTCATTAGTCTACCCTCTCAAAGCGGACCCAACTGTTGAACCCACCCACGATCTGGCTTTACGTTGTTTTGTTCAGCTGATTAATGTAATGGGCCTCGAACATTACTGCTCGTTGGTACAAAAGTATAATGAAACAAACTTTAGTTTTGACGAAAACAGCGATAATCGTGATGATGTGGACAATACTTTTCACTCGATATATGCACTGGACGGAAACGAGACCAAAAGAACCGTATCCAATTTATTTTTCATGCATTGCACCGCGTCAATGATGGTGTCTCTGTTGTCGTTGAATGAATATTATGATATACCATCTAATTTGTTGGGCACTGTTGGTGTATCATTGGTTCATTTGCTGTGTGTAGCCAACTTGAACTCACACGCGTCTGTAGAGCATTCCAAGTACATAGGAAAGAACAGTAATAATGTCGTCTTGAACCGACCAGTGACTTATGATTCTGTCGCTCTTGTCCTATGCACTGCGTACAGTTTGATAAATCATTCGTGCGATCCAAATGTGATCGTTCAAACGTATAGTGGTGTAGAGGTGACTCGGGCAATACAGCCGATTTCTAAAGGATCTCAAGTAATTCGTAATAATGTTATGTTAAAATTGTAATAATTTATATTATAATATAATATTTTATTGTATTGTTTTAAAAAGATCATAATAATTTACCTGTTACGAAATAATATTATAGCTATTCACTGATTATGGCGTCAAATTTATGACACACGACAAAGAAGAACGCAGTAGACATTTATTTGATCAATACCAATTCCAATGTCAGTGCCAGGCTTGTACGAACGATTGGCCTATCTATGCATCACTGGAACTCGATGAATTATTTATTAGGTATATTGTAATATATTATGTAATATGATTTTTAAGGTACCTTCATATGTTATGCATCTATCACGATATAAATATAACTAGTATGATCACATCACATGCGCAACAAATACATTATATTATTAATATAATATTATATATTATTATATTATTATAATATTATATCCGATGTGATCATACCTAAATATTTCTTGATTCTTCTRTAGTATTTATGTTGATTATTAACTAGCTCTCCACCCTAAAACTTGGCCCAGTGTGTTGACAGTTGCASCAATAGCACAATCCATAATGTCCAAAAATGAGTTTGGACAACATATCGTTRAATTTTATTAATAATAAATACAAAATTTCCTATCAGATGAACCTATTAGGTGCAGGTAGTAAGCAGGTAATGCAAGTTATAATATGTCRATCAACGAATGTAACTATTTAAATGCTAACGTTGAATGTTTGAATATATAATATATTTACAGTCAAAGTGTGTAGTAGTGTTGTACATATTTTATAAAAATATATCATGTACAGTCAGAATTGGTAAACTCGAAGCTTAAGAGTACGTAACAGAGGTATTTATTGTCTCCGTCTTACCAGTGCGTAATATACCAAATTTACGCTCAGCAGAACACTTGTAGCTCCTTAAA